GAGCTGGAGACGGGCAGCGCGGATCCAGTCGACCTCACCCTTGCGGCGCAAGGGGAAGACTGTGGTGTAACGAGAGTATTCGTCAACCACCAGCAGGAAGTAACGCTCGTGACCCTGTCCACGGACGCGGGCTGGGCCCCACACGTCCATGTGGAGAGTCTGCAGCAGAGCCTCTGTCGGAGGAAACTCGGAGGAGTGAGGAGCGGCGCGCTGCCGCCCCTCGACGCAGGGAACGCAGGTAGGGGCAGGCCCCGGGGGAAGAGGAGGGAGGGACCGGGGGAGACCAGAGACAAGGACACGGGAGGCCATGCCTCGGAGACGAGGCAGGGAGGGGTGACCAAGGCGGTGGTGCCAGAGGAGAGTCTGGTGAGACAGGAGACGACACGAGCAGGGGGCAGACTCAGGACCAGACCTGGACGCTGCAGCAAACACCTGACCCGACGCAGCTACCTGGCCAGCCGCAGGAACCGGAGGAGACTCGGTAGTCAGTGTGTACAGGCTCGACCCCGGCTGACGGGTAAACGTGGCCAAGTGTCGGCCCGTCCGAGCACACGTGCAGTGGGTCACTCGCTGACTCGCAGGAGTGAACTGGTCAACCCCCCCATCCTGTAGGTCAGCACCACTCACCATGTTCGTGGAGAACGAGGGGAGGTAAAGACCTGACAGGGAGCCAGAAGGGGCCGCCGGACACGGTAGGACAGTGGAGTAGTGGGCAAGGACAGGTCCCCCTGAGGGGTCTTCCAGGGAGACTGCAAGCGTGGCGTGAGTGTGGTGCGGTCTCGAAAGAAGGAGCGGGAGGCCCCTGAGTCAAGAGTGAAGGTGTGTAAGACCGCAGCAGACGTGGTACCAGAGAGAGCAGACGCACCAGCACCTGGAGCAGGAGACTCACTATCGCCTAGAGCAGTAGCCTCACCGACACCTGGAGCAGGAGACGCACGAGCACCTAGAGCAGCAGCCTCACCAGCACCTAGAGCAGCAGACTGGATACTGGGGTCAAGCGGCATACACAGGTAACAGGCACCCGCAGCACTAGTAGGCAATGCATACATGGCAGTGAGGATAGCATCATAGTCAAGAGCATAGATATCTACCCTCTGCCCAAGCAGCTCCACCCAGTCGGGGAGCTCAGCCGCGTCGCCAAACTCTGTACGCCAGGCGTCGCTCAGACGGGCGAAGGAGCGGGACTCTATGTGACCAAACGTCCCGCAAGGCTGACCAGTCCGAGCACCAGTGGGAATGACGTACGGGCAGCGAGCAGTACTCCGTGACCCTCCACGCTGAGCGTACCACTCACGAAGCTGCTGGGGCGAAAGGACCGCGAGCGGACGACGCTGCAGCTGCACCTCGCCACTACAAGAAGCTCCCGAACTACTCACTCCACGACGACTCCCACTACGGCCACCCCGACAACCCCAACTAGCGTACCACTCACGAAGCTGCTGGGGCGTGAGGGACTCACGCGGACGTCGCTGGAGCTGCATCTGGCCACCGCCAGGAGCAGCAGTAGCAGTAGTAGCCGCAGTAGCAGCAGTAGCAGCAGTAGTAGCAGTAGCAGTAGTAGCAGTAGCAGTAGTAGCAGTAGCAAGAGTAGTAGTAGTAGTAGCAGAAGTAGCAGTAGCAGTAGTAGCAGTAGAAGCAGTAGTAGCAGTAGTAGCAGTAGTAGCAGTAGTAGCAGTAGCAGTAGTAGCAGTAGTAGCAGTAGCAGCAGTAGTAGCAGTAGCAGCAGTAGCAGTAGTAGCAATAGTAGCAGCGCGGCCACCCCTACAACCCCAACTAGCGTACCACTCACGAAGCTGTTGGGGCGTGAGGGACTCACGTGGACGGCGCTGGAGCTGCATCTGGCCACGCCAGGAGCAGTAGTAGCAGGTAAAAAGAGCAATAGCAGCAAGAGCAGCAGTAACAGCAGTACGGGCAGGGCAGTGCTCACCAGTGGCGAGAAGGGCAGGTGTACGACGGCGACAACGGCGAGGCCGCTACCACTGCAGGGCGAGGGCTCCGCGGCAGCTGCAGGGGCGGATGCTCCAGGGGCGGCTGCTCCAGGGGCCAGGGGCGGCTGCTGCAGGGGCGGCTGCTCCAGGGGCCAGGGGCGGCTGCTGCAGGGGCGGCTGCTCCAGGGGCCAGGGGCGGCTGCTGCAGGGGCGGTTGCTCCAGGGGCCAGGGGCGGCTGCTGCAGGGGCGGCTGCTCCAGGGGCCAGGGGCGGCTGCTGCAGGGGCGGCTGCTGCAGGGGTGGCTGCTCCAGGGGCCAGGGGCGGCTACTGCAGGGGCGGCTGCTCCAGTGGCCAGGGGCGGCTGCTGCAGGAGCGGCTGCTCCAAGGGTTAGGGGCGGCTGCTGTAGGGGCGGCTGCTCCAGGGGCCAGGGGCGGCTGCTGCAGGGGCGGCTGCTGCAAGGGCGGCTGCTCCAGGGGCCAGGGGCAGCTGCTGCAGGGGGGGCAGGGGCGGCCGTCCGAAGGTCGGGCGCGGGTTAGGGCAGGGCGCCGCGGCGGGCAGGGGCGATGCCGCGCGGGTCCCGCAGGGGCGTCGCGATGAGCGGGGGCGACGCCCGGGTCCCGTTGGGGCGTCGCGACGCGTAGGAGCCGCGCCTCGCGGGTCCCGCAGGGGCGTCGCGACGAGGCGGGGGCAACGCGCGGGTCCCGCTGAGGCGTCGCGACGAGGCAGGGGCGACACCTGGGTGGCGACGGGGCGGAGCCGCGACTGGCGACGGGGCAGGGCCGCTACGGGCAGCGGGGCGGGGCCGCGAAGGGGCCGCGAAGGGGGGCCGCTAAGGGGCCGCGAAGGGGCCGCGAAGGGGCCACGAAGGGGCCGCTAAGGGGCCGCGAAGGGGCCGCGAAGGGGCCGCAAAGGGGCCGCTAAGGGGCCGCGAAGGGGCCGCGAAGGGGCCGCTAAGGGGCCGCGAAGGGGGGCCGCTAAGGGGCCGCGAAGGGGCCGCTAAGGGGCCGCGAAGGGGCCGCGAAGGGGCCGCAAAGGGGGGGGCCGCGACGGGCCTCGGGAGCAGGGCAGGCCGCTAAGGGGCCGCGAAAGGGTAGGGCAGGTCAGAGCGCGAAGCGCGCTTCGGGCAGGTTAGGAAAAAAAAAAAATTAATGGTGGGCCCTTAGGAAGAAATGGTCCCACTAGGGAACCCGCTCTATACCATGTGAAGAAAGAGGAATGAGAATGACTAAGGAAGAAGTGGGTACAAGTAGGAAACCTAGAAGTGTTGTACCCTATAGTGTCTACCCCACTACAGCCTAGATAGACTATAGCATATGAGTTTGACAGTGGAAGCCCTTGCCGTTCGTGCTCCGCTTTGGTAATTTCCGTACAGGTGCCACCGCCACCCCCGCTGCGTGCGCACCTTCGCGAGAGTCTGCACAAATTGGTCTGCGCCCCAGTTGGAGGGGGAAGGGGATGCGTGTCAGAAGAGTAAGCACAGTGAGGAGCCATAGCTAGGGTTTAGCTAGCTAGGCAAGAGAGAAATGAGCAAAGGATGATGTTCACTAGCAAGCAGGAGGATACAAATAGGAAACCCTAAGGGGGTGTACTCACTACAGAGTACCCCACTGCAGGCTAGACAAGCATTTTAATCTGACACACCCCCATAGTCAAAGTGGGGTATAATCAGCACAGCAAGCAGTCATAGAGCAGGTTCACAAGGACAAGCAAAGCTAGAGGCATTCACAAAGGGCAAGTGAGGAGGAGGAGGCGGGACTGTAAGAGGAGAGAAGATAGGAGGCGACGGCTGAAGCTGCAGACACACGGGCAACAGGAGCGGCTGGCACAGTGGCTACCGGGACAGCGCCCCGGACTACTGGAGTAACTGGCTCGGCGGCTACGAAGAGCGGCAGGAGCAACAGGCTCTCTGGGGTACCAGGACAGCGCCCCGGACTACAGGTGCTGCGGACGACAAGACGGCAGCCTCCACTCAACCTCCCCCGACCGTCCCACACCCCTCTCACACACCCCCTGCTCAAACCCTAGCTCCACTCCCACGGCACCCCCCTTAAACCCTAAACCCTCGGCTCCCACACACCCACCCCCCTCAGCGGCAGCTGCAGAAGTGGGAGACGGAGGAGGAGGAGGAGCTGCAGGTTACCCACACCGTTCACCCCCATGCCCGCCACCCCCAAACCCTAATGCAGGTAGGAGCGCGGGAAGCAGCAGGGGCGGTTCACGGAGGGAAAGGGAGGGGGCGGGGGGGTCTCCTGGGCGCCACAAAGGAGCAGGGCGCGGGCCCCCCGAGGGCGCCACGGCTGGTGACGGGAGGGGGGCCGCGCACGGGCCCCCGAGGGCGGCTCGACGGGCGACGAGAGGGGCCGCGCGCGGGCCCCCAAGGCGCCGCGACGAGGCGACGGGAGGGGGCGGCGCGCGGGCCCCCAAGGCGCCACGACGGGCGACGGGAGGGGGCCGCACGCGGGCCCCCGAGGCGCCACGACGGGCGACGGGAGGGGGCCGCGCGCGGGCCCCCACGAGAGCGCCACGACGGGTGACGGGAGGGGGTGGCGCGCTGGCCTCCGGGGCGCCGCAACGAGTGACGGGAGGGGGCAGCGGGCGGGCCCCCTGAAGACGCCGCGACGGGCGACGGGGGGCAGCGCACGGGCCCCCTGAAGGCGCCTCGACGGACGGTTAAACCGCCACGCGCCCCGAGCGCGCGGCAGGCAGAAAAAGCCGCCACGCGCTCCGAGCGCGTGGCGGAAAGAAAAGAACACGTCGCGCACCACGGGGCGCGCGACAAACAGAACGACAGCGGAAGCAGTTGGTGGGCCCACAGGCCAGGAGCGTAAATGCTCTGAAACCATGTCAGAAGAGTAAGCACAGTGAGGAGCCATAGCTAGGGTTTAGCTAGCTAGGCAAGAGAGAAATGAGCAAAGGAGGATGTTCACTAGCAAGCAAGAGGATACAAATAGGAAACCCTAAGGGGTCGTACTCACTACAGAGTACCCCACTGCAGGCTAGACAAGTATTATAATCTGACAATGCGGAGCGGCGATGCGAGGCACATGGAGGGGAGGGGGGAGGTGGGATACTAGTGCGTGTGTAGGCTTGGCGGAAACGGGGCGAGGGGCGGGAGAAGGGGGATCAGGAGGCGAAGCAGAAAGACGGAGGAAGGGAGAATGGGCTGGCGAGGGGTGTGGAAGGGCAGAAGGGTACGCCCTTTTACCCGCTCCCCTTTGCAGTCCCCCCAGCAACATTGGGTTGGGGGTACGGGTTGGCCCATGGAGGCGGTTTGAGGCATGAGGGAGATGGGAGCTATGTGGTGGTGGGAGGCATGGAATGGGTGCAGCCCGAGAGGGATGCAGAGGGTGTGTTGCCCCAGTGGTGGGAGAGCCAAGAGTAGGGTCAGAGAGAAGAGAGGTGAGGGAGGGGTGGAGGGCATGGGGGAGGAGAGAAGGGCAGCAGGAGAGGTGGACGCGGAGTGGAGGGGAGAAGCGAGGGAGGGTGGGCGGAGGGGAGATGGGAGGGAGGGTGGGCTGAGGAGAGAGGCGAGGGAGGGTGGGCGGAGAGGAGGAGGGAGTGAGGGTGGACGGAAGGGAGAGGGGAGGGAGGGTGGGTGGATTGGAGAAGAGAGGGAGGGTGGGCAGAGGGGAGAAGCAAGAGAGGGAGGGCGGAGGGGAGAAAGGAGTGTAGCGAAAAGGCAAACTTAGCCGACCACTTACACTGGCGTGGAGGGGTGGAGCAGGTAAGGCGAGGGGTGCCTTGGGCGATCTCATGTTTACAGGAGGCGCCGAAGCTTCTCCTGCCCCACACCCCTCGCTGCACCCGTCTCCTCCGTCACACCCTCCCTCTCCATTTTCCCACGCACCGTCCCCCTGAATATTGGCCCCCACTCATCAGGAATAATTGTGATTGTTTTCCAAGAATTGTCCAAGTACACAGCTTTCAACATTCAAACCACCCCTCCACCCACCCCATACATTAGACATGGGCGTTTTGTCCCGACCCGACCCGCTTTTTTATTCGGTTTTGGTCGCAGTATCCTGTGAGGTCGACCCAGCCGGAACAGGTCAACTTGTCCGGGGCCGATCGGGTTGACCCAAAAAACGTATATAGCTTAGGGAAACTGGCAAGGCCAACCTGATCCGACCCAATTTCGGGCCAGTGGTATAAAAACGGGTTGCAAGGCACCCATCCATTTTACCCCCAAATTTCATTGGGGATTGACATTTTGACCCCCTCTTTTCAAATCTATTTGAGACATAGCACCCATAGTGGCTCAGTCTAAGCCTAAGTACTAGCATTTGCCATGCAATTTTGACGAAGCGGGTAAAAACATTGTAACATTCAGGCATTCCGTCCTGAACCTGCCATTATACCCCAAACGCATCGCATTCCTCATGCACTTCAGTAGCTGTGGGCCCCTCCACCCCAGAGAAGGGCCCGCACGCCACTGCGAGCAGTAGGTTGGTGTGGCAAATATACACACGCGCGCAGCACACCCACCTGCTAACAGCATGCAGCCCTAGAGTTTGAAAGCAGCGCACACCACCTCAGGCAGTCTTGACGTTGCCCTCCTCCCGTCCATCACATCAGAAGCAGCAGCAGCAGATAGCATTCCCACCTCAAACCACCTTATCCACCCATCCCAACCCAACCCACCCACCTCACCCCACCCCTCCCCTTTCACCCTCTCACCAGGCGGCCTTTATGCGGACCTCACATCCATGAGGTGGAGAGTGGGGGGGTACAATGCACGAGGGTGAATGCACACAGAATCCCCATGCTTGTGGCTCTCTCTCTAGGCGTCGCCTGGCCAAGGTGACTGCAGGTGTGGAATGTGGTGGGGTGTTGATGCTATTGGGTAACACACATTGAGGTGGGAATGGGGGGGTATGTAGTATTGCATGGGGCATTTTTGTGGTTGTGGCTCTCTCGAGATGACGCCCTAACCAAGGTGAGTGCAGGCGAAGGTGGGGTGGTGGTTGGCTGTGCTGAGTAGATTACTGGCTGTAGTGGCGAATGAGGGACTGGTCGAGGTGAAGCCATGTGACCAGGCAGGTGGAGGGAAGGGGGGTGAGGGGAACGGAACAAGTGTGTGTGTTATAGATCCTCGTTCCTGTCACATGAATCGACTTAAACTATGTGTGTTACTGATAATGGCTCTATCAACCAGAAGTAAATTGTTTCGTGGGGGTAGTGCGTGCATGAGGGTGAGCGCTGAGATTAGTGGCATGGCGGAAGAAATGCAGAACAATGAGGTGAAATTTGGAGTGGGGAGGGTGTGAGTGGGGAGTGTCGAGTCGACTCAACCTCCCTGTCAGGCCTTGAACCCCCTTTGTGCCATCGCAGGCCTCCCTGTGTGCCGTCGCAGTGGGCGGCGCTTGCACTGCCAGGGCAGCATCAGTTCAACCAGTTGGTACTGTCGTGCAGAGAACTCAATCCACCCCATTCCGCCCCCACCATCTCACTCTCACCACCACTCTCCCACCACCATCTCACTCCCACCACCATCTCACTACCATTACCATCTCATTCACACCACCATCTCACTCCCAATATTTCCTCTAGGAAGCCATGCTCTAGTCAATCACACTGCAGTCAAACGCAGAGTCCTGCCACAAGGGAGAATTTCCAACAACCCAATCATGGCATGCAGCTTGGGTTGTGTGCCCCTTCACGAAGTGTAAAGAAACGTACTGTTACTTACTGACATTAATAAATCACGTAGATGTATTGCGCTAGCTAGGTTCGTTCATATGTGTTGCAGAGCCTGAATAATTTTGCGCGATATTTTAAATTTGAGATCGACATTGTAGCGCTTGTAGAGAGATTTATTGTTATTATTCTATAATTCTACATAGAACCTGGTTCATCACGTTATCTATAAGGTAGTGTAATCAGTTTCTGTAGGTGTGTAATATGTTTCTGAAGGATTACTTTAGCGAGTGTGTTCCGAGGTGCTCACGTCAGCTGGTTCGGCCTAAAAGTTCGCCCCGAACCACTTCCGATTCGCCACCGTACCTATCGCGACGCTTCCGAACCTAGCTACCCCGAGGTCCTCGCCTAGCTCGACTCTGCCTGTATAATCTCGTTTTGAACATTCATTGGACATTCAGTAGAGCTCTTCAGCATTTAAATTTTAGTGCATTTCAGTTCATCCGGAAAACGCTCCCACTCATAACGCATCACTTATTTTGTGTCAGGCCACCATTTGCGGGCTGCTGGCTAGGCTGGAGTCACAGGACAGGGGGACCCGTTAGTGGGGCACCAGATAGTGGCTCGATTGAGATCGCGTCGAAGCGTCAGACAGGGTGACGATAGCGCAACGGACGGCGACAAAACCGTGACAGACAGGGCGACGAAAATTTGGCAGACAGAACGACAGTAGACAACGAAACAGGGACAGACAGAGCGACACTAGATGACAAGAGCAAGAAGAACCGCTACATCAGAGGCGCGAGGAGCGGCAATGGCGGATGGGGGAAGCACGGGCGCGCAGGCGAGGCTTCCGGCGGCTGCAGTGGCGGAAACAGCACCGTCGCTGTGAGCACCATAGGCTGGAGCGGCGGCGCCGGCACTGGCGCGAAGAGGCGGTGGAAGCCCGCGCCGGTCGCGCTCCGCCTGGACCACTTCCTCGCCGTCGCCACCGACGCCGCCCCCGCGGCTACCGCTGCCATTCCTGCTGCACGCGCGCCTGTACCGCCGCCTCCGCGAGAGCCCGCGGGAATCGGTTTGAGCGTGGATGGGCCCAGAAATGACGGGCGGCCGCGCGGAGGTGGAAGGGGAGGCGGAACGGGGAGGGGAGTCGCAGGGAGGGGAGGGAAATAGGTGGATACTAGCGCGTTTGGTCTGGGTTTGGCGGAAATGAAGCGAGGGGTGGGAGAACGGGGGGCAGGAGGGCGGAAGAGAGGAGAAGGCGCAGGCGGAGGGGTGGGGACTGGTGGGGACGGGCGGGAAAGGGGGAAGAACGGGGGAAAGGTGTGAGAGGGCATGCGCGAGAGAGGGTGCGTGGAGACGCGCTGTGGAGGGGTGGATGAAGGCAGCAAGTTTGGAGAGAATTGGTGTGAGGCGGGGGAAGGAGAGGCAGACACCGAATTAGAAGGGAGCGAGCCGCTTGAAACGCATGGTGGTGCTGGCGAGACAGGCGTGCGATTGAGGGCGGCAGTGCGAGCGCGTGGGAAGCAGCGCGAGTGTGAGGGGAGGGGGAGATGTGGGAGGGGTTGATGGGGGAGGAGGAGAGGGGGGATGGGGAGACGGGGACCTCAGGGGTAACGACGCATGGGAACAGGGAGCTATGAGGCGGCGCATCCCCTGCATCCCCCTCTCCCTCCCCATCCCCCTCTCCGTCCCCATCCCCCTCTCCCTCCCCATCCCCCTCTCCCTCCCCATCCCCTTCTCCCTCCCCATTCCCCCTGCAACGACGCACAGGAGCAGGGAGCGATGAGGTGGTGCATGCTAGCGGGGTTGAAGGAGGTGGGGCAGGTGGGCAAGGCTGTAGGAGATGGGCAAGGCTGTAGGAGATGGGCAAGGCTGTAGGAGATGGGCAAGGCTGTAGGAGATGGGCAAGGCTGTAGGAGATGGGCAAGGCTGTAGGAGATGGGCAAGGCTGTAGGAGATGGGCAAGGCTGTAGGAGATGGGCAAGGCTGTTGGACGTTTCCTTGTGTTTCCTCATGTCCGCCGCGTGTGGTGCTGGCGCCTAACTTGGAGGAGGTGCCTGCCTGGGGTAGGTGAGGGGAGGGAGGTGAGGGGAGGGAGGTGAGGGCAGGGAGGTATGGAGCCTTTGACGCATCCGTTGTAGTCTAGTTGGTTAGGATACTCGGCTCTCACCCGAGAGACCAGGGTTCAAGTCCCGGCATCGGAATCGTTTTTGGTGGGTCTGGAAGACATGTGGTCATAGAAGACACAACCCAAAACATTGACAGTGCAGTGTGTGTTGTGCACAATTGACCTCTTGCCACCTGACGTCCAAACCAAGTGGTTTTGCAGCTGCGAGGGAGCGATGAGGGAAAGAGTGCCTTTTTGTGCCAGTCCCCCCAGCTCTCACCGCCCTTGCACCAAATAATAATTCTAGTCGACACATGTATGGGCATACAAAAACGACACAAGCAACCTCTTCTTCCACCTTTCCATGCTGCCTCATCCTGCTTCTCTTGCCCCTTACCCTTCCTGTCACCTGCCCCTTTCTCCACCCACTTGAGAACCTTTTGTTAGTGTTAGCCTTCAATCTCACACTTTGTACTTTGTATTTGCTATATCCTAGAGTAGTGTAGTTTGCACATTGTGTTTGGTTGGGTGTACACCTACATCCCAACCAAACCCAAATGTAATCTCCAAGCAATCTCCAACCCACCAATTGGAGATTACCTTGGGATTACCCCCAATCCCTAGGGATTGCCTCTGATTCCCTTCCCCAACTATTCCTTACCCTGCTTGGATGTACTTAAAAAGCTTCAAGCTCATTACTAGTGCATCGCTTCTAAGCCTAAGTTCTCTAATCTTTGAGCGTACAAAAAGGGCCAAACGAGCATCTTCTTCCCTGCTGCTGCAATTGCTCCTTTCCTTTCTCGTTACCTTCCTGTCCTGTGCCCCATTCTGCCCCACTTCCTCACACTTCAGGACCACTGGGCGTACAAGAGGGATCCAAGGAACCACTTTCTCAGCTAGGCCATGCTGCCCTCTGCTGCTGAGTCGTGTTTTGAGTTGACTCAAAACACCTCCGCACACTTCAGAACCACTAGGCGTACAAGAGGGATCCAAGGAACCACTTTCTCAGCTAGGCCATGCTGCCCTCTGCTGCTGAGTCGTGTTTTGAGTCGATTGAAAACACCTCCGCACACTTCAGGACCACTAGGCGTACAAGAGGGATCCAAGGAACCACTTGCTACCCTCTGCTGCTTCTCTGTCCTCTTCCTGTCCCCTTACCTTGTTTGATGCCCCGTTTCTCTCCGTTCCCTCCCACCAACCCCTTTCAAAATCACTTGGCGTACAAAAAGGACCCGAGCAACCTTCCCAGCGATGCCATGCTGCCTCCTGCTGCTTCTTTCGGTATCTTCGTTTCCCCTTGCCTTTCAGTCACCTGCCCTTTGCTGTCCCTTCCGCCCCATCTTCCCCCACCCCCTTCAGAACCACAAGAAGGATCTCGGGAACTTCTTTCCCAGCTGCCCCCTGCTGCCATCTTTGCTCCTCTTTCTCTCCCCTTATCCTTTCTGTCCCGTTTCGGCCCATCTACACCCGCCACCGCCTTCAGAACCACGGGGCTTACAAGAACCATGGCACACAGCCCGCACCCACTCGCACCCACTCGCACCCACTCGCACCCACTCGCACCCACTCGCACAGGCACACTGCTTGCGTGGCCACTGTTTCGTTCCCTTACCTTACACCCTCCTTTACTCTTACCCTCCCCCGTTTACTAACCCCTCTCCTTACCCTTAACCCCCCTCTTTCACTTACCCCTTCCCCTTCACCCCTTTGCTACCCCCTTTCCCTTCCCTTTACCCCTCCCGTTATCCACTTCCCCTTTCCCCACCCCCTCCTCCGTTCTTCAACTCCCTTCCCTTTCCCCTTCGCTTTCAACCTCCCTCTCCCCTTACCCCATTCCCCTTCGCTCCCCTTCCCTGTATCCTACCCTTCCTCTTACCCACTCCCGTCCCCTGAACCATCTACTCCCTTTACCTTCTCCTCCCTTTGCCCTCTTCCCTTTAATCCAGTTTTCTGTATCCCACCCCTCCCCCTCCCTTTACACTCTCCCATTAAGCTTACCCTCTACTCCTATCACTCCCCCTCATCTTAAACCATCCCTTCCCTTTTTCCTCCTTCCTTTTTCCTCTTCCTCTCCCTTTTCCTCCTTCCTCTCCTTTTTTCCCCTTCCTCTCCCTTTACCCTCGTCATCTCACTTTACCCTTTTCCCTCTTCCTTTACCCCCTTCCCTCCTTTTCCCCTTTCCCTCCCTTCTTCCCCTTCCCTCCCTGCAACCCCTCCCCTTCATTTACACTCCTCCCTTCAATTAACCCTTCCCCTCCCTTCACCCCCTCCCATCCCTGTATTCCTCCCCGTCCTTAACCCTCTCCCACCCCCCTCCTAATCCACCCATCTGTGCACCTACGTGGCGTTGCTCACAGGAGGACAACCATCACAACTGCTCTCCTTCTCTGCTCCCCCCCCCTTCCATCTCCAACTCCCCCCTCCTTTCTCCTAGCGAACTTCTGCCCCGCTGTTTTCATTCCCTGCACTTCTCTCACCCCTCGCCCTCACAGCACTGTTTCACACCTTTGTCACTTCCTTCCTCCTCCCCCCCCCCTCCCCCCCCCCCCCCTACCCTCCCCCGTCCCCTACCCCCTCCCCCTTTCCCCCCCTTGCAGCTCCTCACCTGCCCGGAGTCCTACAGGGCCGCCAGGTCGGACTGCCTTACCAAGACGGACTGCCTTTCCAAGACGGACAAGACTGGGGCCTACCAGAGAAAAGGACCCATCGCCTCGAAGGTCATCAAGGGACTGCCGTAACTACCTAGTAGGTTAGCTTCCGATATTGTACCGTGCTCTCACCAAGCGGCTCTATAACCAAGAGTATGACATCCAACAAAGTAGAATTTGAGTTAACTTGGAACCGGCTACATCTGAGTTGCCTGTGATAATTCTCAGAATCGCCTCATGCAGCCTCACTTGACGCTCACCTGCCTGAACCCCCATGCTCTCCTTCCCATCATGCTCTCCTTCCCATCATGCTCTCCTTCCCATCATGCTCTCCTTCCCATCATGCTCTCCTTCCCATCATGCTCTCCTTCCCATCATGCTCTCCTTCCCATCATGCTCTCCTTCCCATCATGCTCTCCTTCCCATCATGCTCTCCTTCCCATCATGCTCTCCTTCCCATCATGCTCTCCTTCCCATCATGCTCTCCTTCCCATCATGCTCTCCTTCCCATCATGCTCTCCTTCCCATCATGCTCTCCTTCCCATCATGCTCTCCTTCCCATCATGCTCTCCTTCCCATCATGCTCTCCTTCCCATCATGCTCTCCTTCCCATCATGCTCTCCTTCCCATCATGCTCTCCTTCCCATCATGCTCTCCTTCCCATCATGCTCTCCTTCCCATCATGCTCTCCTTCCCATCATGCTCTCCTTCCCATCATGGCTCCGCGCCATTCCCTCCTCTCATCACCCTTCTCAGGTCAGTCTCAGGTCAGTCTCGGGTCAGTCTCAGGTCAGTCTCAGGTCAGTCTCGGGTCAGTCTCAGGTCAGTCTCCGGTCAGTCTCGGGTCAGTCTCGGGTCAGTCTCAGGTCAGTCTCAGGTCAGTCTCAGGTCAGTCTCAGGTCAGTCTCGGGTCAGTCTCAGGTCAGTCTCAGGTCAGTCTCGGGTCAGTCTCAGGTCAGTCTCAGGTCAGTCTCAGGTCAGTCTCAGGTCAGTCTCAGGTCAGTCTCAGGTCAGTCTCAGGTCAGTCTCAGGTCAGTCTCAGGTCAGTCTCAGGTCAGTCTCAGGTCAGTCTCCGGTCAGTCTCGGGTCAGTCTCAGGTCAGTCTCAGGTCAGTCTCGGGTCAGTCTCGGGTCAGTCTCGGGTCAGTCTCAGGTCAGTCTCAGGTCAGTCTCAGGTCAGTCTCGGGTCAGTCTCGGGTCAGTCTCGGGTCAGTCTCAGGTCAGTCTCAGGTCAGTCTCAGGTCAGTCTCAGGTCAGTCTCAGGTCAGTCTCGGGTCAGTCTCGGGTCAGTCTCAGGTCAGTCTCAGGTCAGTCTCAGGTCAGTCTCAGGTCAGTCTCAGGCCAGTCTCAGGTCAGTCTCAGGTCAGTCTCAGGTCAGTCTCAGGTCAGTCTCGGGTCAGTCTCAGGTCAGTCTCAGGTCAGTCTCAGGTCAGTCTCAGGTCAGTCTCGGGTCAGTCTCGGGTCAGTCTCGGGTCAGTCTCAGGTCAGTCTCAGGTCAGTCTCAGGTCAGTCTCGGGTCAGTCTCGGGTCAGTCTCGGGTCAGTCTCGGGTCAGTCTCAGGTCAGTCTCGGGTCAGTCTCGGGTCAGTCTCAGGTCAGTCTCAGGTCAGTCTCAGGTCAGTCTCAGGTCAGTCTCAGATCAGTCTCAGGTCAGTCTCAGGTCAGTCTCAGGTCAGTCTCGGGTCAGTCTCGGGTCAGTCTCAGGTCAGTCTCAGGTCAGTCTCAGGTCAGTCTCAGGTCAGTCTCAGGTCAGTCTCAGGTCAGTCTCAGGTCAGTCTCAGGTCAGTCTCAGGTCAGTCTCAGGCCAGTCTCAGGTCAGTCTCAGGTCAGCCTCAGGTCAGTCTCAGGTCAGTCTCAGGTCAGTCTCAGGTCAGTCTCAGGTCAGTCTCGGGTCAGTCTCAGGTCAGTCTCGGGTCAGTCTCAGGTCAGTCTCAGGTCAGTCTCGGGTCAGTCTCAGGCCAGTCTCAGGTCAGTCTCAGGTCAGTCTCAGGTCAGTCTCAGGTCAGTCTCAGGTCAGTCTCAGGTCAGTCTCAGGTCAGTCTCGGGTCAGTCTCAGGTCAGTCTCAGGTCAGTCTCAGGTCAGTCTCAGGCCAGTCTCAGGTCAGTCTCAGGCCAGTCTCAGGTCAGTCTCAGGTCAGTCTCAAGTCAGTCTCAGGTCAGTCTCAGGTCAGTCTCGGGTCAGTCTCAGGTCAGTCTCAGGTCAGTCTCGGGTCAGTCTTAGGCCAGTCTCAGGTCAGTCTCAGGTCAGTCTCAGGTCAGTCTCAGGTCAGTCTCAGGTCAGTCTCAGGTCAGTCTCAGGTCAGTCTCAGGTCAGTCTCAGGTCAGTCTCAGGTCAGTCTCGGGTCAGTCTCGGGTCAGTCTCAGGTCAGTCTCAGGTCAGTCTCAGGTCAGTCTCAGATCAGTCTCAGGTCAGTCTCAGGTCAGTCTCAGGTCAGTCTCGGGTCAGTCTCGGGTCAGTCTCCGGTCAGTCTCCGGTCAGTCTCAGGTCAGTCTCAGGTCAGTCTCAGGTCAGTCTCGGGTCAGTCTCGGGTCAGTCTCAGGTCAGTCTCAGGTCAGTCTCAGGTCAGTCTCAAGTCAGTCTCAGGTCAGTCTCGGGTCAGTCTCGGGTCAGTCTCGGGTCAGTCTCAGGTCAGTCTCAGGTCAGTCTCAGGTCAGTCTCAGGTCAGTCTCAGGTCAGTCTCAGGTCAGTCTCAGGTCAGTCTCAGGTCAGTCTCAGGTCAGTCTCAGGTCAGTCTCAGGTCAGTCTCAGGTCAGTCTCAGGTCAGTCTCAGGTCAGTCTCGGGTCAGTCTCAGGTCAGTCTCGGGTCAGTCTCAGGTCAGTCTCAGGTCAGTCTCGGGTCAGTCTCAGGCCAGTCTCAGGTCAGTCTCAGGTCAGTCTCAGGTCAGTCTCAGGTCAGTCTCAGGTCAGTCTCGGGTCAGTCTCGGGTCAGTCTCGGGTCAGTCTCAGGTCAGTCTCAGGTCAGTCTCAGGTCAGTCTCAGGCCAGACTCAGGTCAGTCTCAGGCCAGTCTCAGGTCAGTCTCAGGTCAGTCTCAAGTCAGTCTCAGGCCAGTCTCAAGTCAGTCTCAGGCCAGTCTCAGGTCAGTCTCAGGTCAGTCTCAGGCCAGTCTCAGGTCAGTCTCAGGTCAGCCTCAGGTCAGTCTCAGGTCAGTCTCAGGTCAGTCTCAGGTCAGTCTCGGGTCAGTCTCAGGTCAGTCTCAGGTCAGTCTCAGGTCAGTCTCAGGTCAGTCTCAGGTCAGTCTCGGGTCAGTCTCGGGTCAGTCTCAGGTCAGTCTCAGGTCAGTCTCAGGTCAGTCTCGGGTCAGTCTCAGGTCAGTCTCAGGTCAGTCTCAGGTCAGTCTCAGGTCAGTCTCAGGTCAGTCTCGGGTCAGTCTCAGGTCAGTCTGAGGTCAGTCTCAGGTCAGTCTCAGGTCAGTCTCAGGTCAGTCTCAGGTCAGTCTCAGGTCAGTCTCAGGTCAGTCTCAGGTCAGTCTCGGGTCAGTCTCAGGTCAGTCTCAGGTCAGTCTCGGGTCAGTCTCAGGCCAGTCTCAGGTCAGTCTCAGGTCAGTCTCAGGTCAGTCTCAGGTCAGTCTCAGGTCAGTCTCAGGTCAGTCTCGGGTCAGTCTCGGGTCAGTCTCAGGTCAGTCTCAGGTCAGTCTCAGGTCAGTCTCAGGTCAGTCTCAGGTCAGTCTCAGGCCAGTCTCAGGTCAGTCTCAGGCCAGTCTCAGGTCAGTCTCAGGTCAGTCTCAAGTCAGTCTCAGGCCAGTCTCAAGTCAGTCTCAGGTCAGTCTCAGGCCAGTCTCAGGTCAGTCTCAGGTCAGTCTCAGGTCAGTCTCAGGTCAGTCTCAGGTCAGTCTCAGGTCAGTCCCGGGTCAGTCTCAGGTCAGTCTCAGGTCAGTCTCAGGTCAGTCTCAGGTCAGTCTCGGGTCAGTCTCGGGTCAGTCTCAGGTCAGTCTCAGGTCAGTCTCAGGTCAGTCTCGGGTCAGTCTCAGGTCAGTCTCAGGTCAGTCTCAGGTCAGTCTCAGGTCAGTCTCAGGTCAGTCTCGGGTCAGTCTCAGGTCAGTCTCAGGTCAGTCTCAGGTCAGTCTCAGGTCAGTCTCAGGTCAGTCTCAGGTCAGTCTCAGGTCAGTCTCAGGTCAGTCTCGGGTCAGTCTCAGGTCAGTCTCCGGTCAGTCTCGGGTCAGTCTCGGGTCAGTCTCAGGTCAGTCTCAGGTCAGTCTCAGGTCAGTCTCGGGTCAGTCTCAGGTCAGTCTCAGGTCAGTCTCAGGTCAGTCTCGGGTCAGTCTCGGGTCAGTCTCAGGTCAGTCTCAGGTCAGTCTCAGGTCAGTCTCAGGTCAGTCTCAGGTCAGTCTCGGGTCAGTCTCGGGTCAGTCTCGGGTCAGTCTCAGGTCAGTCTCAGGTCAGTCTCGGGTCAGTCTCGGGTCAGTCTCGGGTCAGTCTCGGGTCAGTCTCAGGTCAGTCTCAGGTCAGTCTCAGGTCAGTCTCAGGTCAGTCTCGGGTCAGTCTCAGGTCAGTCTCAGGTCAGTCTCGGGTCAGTCTCGGGTCAGTCTCAGGTCAGTCTCGGGTCAGTCTCAGGTCAGTCTCAGGTCAGTCTCAGGTCAGTCTCGGGTCAGTCTCGGGTCAGTCTCAGGTCAGTCTCAGGTCAGTCTCAGGTCAGTCTCAGGTCAGTCACAGGTCAGTCTCAGGCCAGTCTCAGGTCAGTCTCAGGTCAGTCTCAGGTCAGTCTCGGGTCAGTCTCGGGTCAGTCTCAGGTCAGTCTCAGGTCAGTCTCAGGTCAGTCTCAGGTCAGTCTCGGGTCAGTCTCGGGTCAGTCTCAGGTCAGTCTCAGGTCAGTCTCAGGTCAGTCTCAGGTCAGTCTCGGGTCAGTCTCAGGTCAGTCTCAGGTCAGTCTCGGGTCAGTCTCAGGTCAGTCTCAGGTCAGTCTCAGGTCAGTCTCAGGTCAGTCTCAGGTCAGTCTCAGGTCAGTCTCAGGTCAGTCTCAGGTCAGTCTCAGGTCAGTCTCAGGTCAGTCTCAGGTCAGTCTCGGGTCAGTCTCGGGTCAGTCTCAGGTCAGTCTCGGGTCAGTCTCAGGTCAGTCTCAGGTCAGTCTCAGATCAGTCTCAGGTCAGTCTCAGGTCAGTCTCAGGTCAGTCTCAGGTCAGTCTCAGGTCAGTCTCCGGTCAGTCTCCGGTCAGTCTCAGGTCAGTCTCCGGTCAGTCTCAGGTCAGTCTCAGGTCAGTCTCGGGTCAGTCTCGGGTCAGTCTCTGGTCAGTCTCAGGTCAGTCTCAGGTCAGTCTCGGGTCAGTCTCGGGTCAGTCTCGGGTCAGTCTCGGGTCAGTCTCGGGTCAGTCTCAGGTCAGTCTCAGGTCAGTCTCAGGTCAGTCTCAGGTCAGTCTCAGGTCAGTCTCAGGTCAGTCTCAGGTCAGTCTCAGGTCAGTCTCGGGTCAGTCTCAGGCCAGTCTCAGGTCAGTCTCAGGTCAGTCTCAGGTCAGTCTCAGGTCAGTCTCAGGTCAGTCTCGGGTCAGTCTCGGGTCAGTCTCGGGTCAGTCTCAGGTCAGTCTCAGGTCAGTCTCAGGTCAGTCTCAGGCCAGTCTCAGGTCAGTCTCAGGCCAGTCTCAGGTCAGTCTCAGGTCAGTCTCAAGTCAGTCTCAGGCCAGTCTCAAGTCAGTCTCAGGCCAGTCTCAGGTCAGTCTCAGGTCAGTCTCAGGCCAGTCTCAGGTCAGTCTCAGGTCAGCCTCAGGTCAGTCTCAGGTCAGTCTCAGGTCAGTCTCAGGTCAGTCTCGGGTCAGTCTCAGGTCAGTCTCAGGTCAGTCTCAGGTCAGTCTCAGGTCAGTCTCAGGTCAGTCTCGGGTCAGTCTCGGGTCAGTCTCAGGTCAGTCTCAGGTCAGTCTCGGGTCAGTCTCAGGTCAGTCTCAGGTCAGTCTCAGGTCAGTCTCAGGTCAGTCTCAGGTCAGTCTCGGGTCAGTCTCGGGTCAGTCTCAGGTCAGTCTCAGGTCAGTCTCAGGTCAGTCTCAGGTCAGTCTCAGGTCAGTCTCAGGTCAGTCTCAGGTCAGTCTCAGGTCAGTCTCAGGTCAGTCTCGGGTCAGTCTCAGGTCAGTCTCAGGTCAGTCTCGGGTCAGTCTCAGGCCAGTCTCAGGTCAGTCTCAGGTCAGTCTCAGGTCAGTCTCAGGTCAGTCTCAGGTCAGTCTCAGGTCAGTCTCGGGTCAGTCTCGGGTCAGTCTCAGGTCAGTCTCAGGTCAGTCTCAAGTCAGTCTCAGGCCAGTCTCAGGTCAGTCTCAGGTCAGTCTCAAGTCAGTCTCAGGCCAGTCTCAGGTCAGTCACAGGTCAGTCTCAGGTCAGTCTCAGGTCAGTCTCAGGTCAGTCTCAGGTCAGTCTCAGGTCAGTCTCAGGTCAGTCTCGGGTCAGTCTCAGGTCAGTCTCAGGTCAGTCTCGGGTCAGTCTCAGGTCAGTCTCAGGTCAGTCTCAGGTCAGTCTCAGGTCAGTCTCAGGTCAGTCTCAGGTCAGTCTCAGGTCAGTCTCAGGTCAGTCTCAGGTCAGTCTCAAGTCAGTCTCAGGTCAGTCTCGGGTCAGTCTCGGGTCAGTCTCAGGTCAGTCTCAGGTCAGTCTCGGGTCAGTCTCGGGTCAGTCTCAGGTCAGTCTCAGGTCAGTCTCGGGTCAGTCTCGGGTCAGTCTCGGGTCAGTCTCGGGTCAGTCTCAGGTCAGTCTCAGGTCAGTCTCAGGTCAGTCTCAGGTCAGTCTCGGGTCAGTCTCGGGTCAGTCTCAGGTCAGTCTCAGGTCAGTCTCAGGTCAGTCTCGGGTCAGTCTCGGGTCAGTCTCGGGTCAGTCTCGGGTCAGTCTCAGGTCAGTCTCAGGTCAGTCTCAGGTCAGTCTCGGGTCAGTCTCGGGTCAGTCTCGGGTCAGTCTCAGGTCAGTCTCAGGTCAGTCTCAGGTCAGTCTCAGGTCAGTCTCAGGCCAGTCTCAGGTCAGTCTCAGGTCAGTCTCAGGTCAGTCTCGGGTCAGTCTCAGGTCAGTCTCAGGTCAGTCTCAGGTCAGTCTCAGGTCAGTCTCGGGTCAGTCTCGGGTCAGTCTCAGGTCAGTCTCAGGTCAGTCTCAGGTCAGTCTCGGGTCAGTCTCGGGTCAGTCTCGGGTCAGTCTCAGGTCAGTCTCAGGTCAGTCTCAGGTCAGTCTCAGGTCAGTCTCAGGTCAGTCTCAGGTCAGTCTCAGGTCAGTCTCAGGTCAGTCTCAGGTCAGTCTCAGGTCAGTCTCGGGTCAGTCTCGGGTCAGT